GAGCTTTGACCCTCCTGACATCCACATACCTGACAATGACGCCTGGGCCCGTAGGAATCCACCTTTCCGCGGCATAGCTGTTTATACTGACGGTTCAAAGATGGAATGCAGAACGGGAAGTGGTGTCTTCTGCGACACTCTTAATGTTCGCGAATCCTACAAGCTAAGAAACTACTGTAGCGTGTTACAGACGGAAATCTTTGCGGTCAAAAAAAAAACCATAGACCTATTGGTCACAAGGAACAACGAGGTTAGCGGTTCGGAGACTATATACGTCGACAGCCAAGCGGCGCTGAAAGCTTTAAAAACCATTAAATCTAGGGCTATTTTGGATTGCAGGAGATCCTTGGAAAACACTGGGTTGTCCATCAAGCTCTGTTGGGTTGCTAGTCATTACAATATTCCAGGCAACGAGACTAGGGACGAATTGGCTAGGCTAGGTCGGAATCAGCTACCATTGGAGTTGAGAACTCGGTCAAAACACCCCTGTGCCACTTCTTCCAGGTAATTCATAGACACCACTTTGACAGAATTCAACAAAACTGGCTGGACGAAAGAGGATGTAGCATCTCAAAAAGAATCTGGCCCATACTCTCGGAGAAGAGAACATTGCCGCTATTGTCCTGGTTAAAGCCTGATTTAAAACTTGTGGTGGGTATCTTCACAGGTCACTGCAAGGTGAGGGCAATGACCTCGAAATGGGACAGCGATGACATTGACTACTGCAGAATCTGTCAATACGAGGAATGAATTGAGACGGTCCAACATTTGCTCTGTTGTTGGTGGGGGAACAAGTGTCACATGATTTGTCTTCATTCTATAATTGGATGATTTTCCCCACATTTTTTCACGAATTTGTCTTAAAATTGGTATTTGTAAGTCATAATGGGTTCTAGCTTCTAGCGAAACATTGTAACGGGGCGATATTCGTATTATGATGATTTTTGCCACATTTTTCCACGGATTTGTCTGAAAATTGGTATTTGTAGGTCATAGTTGCTTCTAGCTTCGGTGGCTGAACATTATATGTAAAGATCCGCGTTTTCGTATATTATATATATTTATATTAAAATGTTTTCGAACTTACCCATGGTGGAGGGTATTAAAAGTTCGGCCCGGTCGAACTTAAAGATTTTCACTTGTTTTACTTTTTTGTCAAAACGAAGAAAATTGGATAAAACTGAATTAAATTGAGGCCAGCAATGCACAGTGGTCGAGGTCATATGGGAACAGCGGCCAAAAATACTTTCAGTGCAGATATCAATATGAATCTTTGGTTATGGTACCTTGATGGGATAAAAATAAAAAATGTGACAAATTGAACTGAGAACTGTGCAAGATAGTGCCATGGGTATCTATTTGTTAACTCATCGGAAGTTTCCAGTGCAAAGGCCTTACATTTTTCGACATTAATATTGATGAGGTCGACTCCTAACCTCATCACAAAGCGATGTAACTAACGAAAGAAAAAGAAACGCCGCGAGATGATCTTTCTTGTTCCGTGGCTGGAAGGGAACTCAATTTATTTACAACATATTCTTAACACTAAAGCTTACATCTAATACATTAACACATGCATTTTATTTACTAATGCACGCTGTGCATTAACGCACACAATACGTTGCGGGAGAAAACGAAACGTACCTAATTTGTGATCGACTCTTTCTTATCTTCTATTTATGGCCGTGACATTTATTACATTATTTATTACCGACCATAAACCTAGCATTTGGAAAACACATGCATCTTAAGTGTTTTCTTTATTTAACTAATTTACATTCTTCGGAAAAGACAAATAAAAATGAGATAAGAATTTAAAGAAGAACATTCAACACACAAACTATTTTTACAACATGTACAGTTTCTACAAAACTAAACATACTCCCGGCCTTAAAAGATCCTAATCTTTTAACAAACTTCGATCGATTCTATTTTTTTTTTTTAAATTATATAAAATAAACATAATTTTCTTAATATTAAAAATTGAATAAAACTGTGCCAAAGTTATATCTTATTTCAAAATTAATTTCTAACGTAAAAATAATCTCCGAAGTATGCTGCTTGAAACTAGGTAATTGCACCCATGACATCCACCAACCACTTGAAGTCTGGATCTCTCCGCCAGCGATGATCAGATACCTGGGATATTTTTAAATCCTTTCCATAATTCAAGGACACATCTACTGCATGGATACGTCGTTTACTTATACTCATGTTGTTATATTCTCCACGACTTCTGAACCATTTCGCACGTTCCAGACGGAAATTATCAATCTTCTCTTTATGTCCATCGTCAATACAATCCTTGGCCCGGATTTCACTTTCTTCTTTGTCAGGAGCAGCAAATACAGGATTTTTGTGTTCCTGTAAATTCCTTGTGGGCAGAACTTCTTCAATATTAATTTTTCTCGTTATTTTTCCTTCGACTGGCGGAACATCAAGGCGAACGTTTTCATTTTTACTTTCGATAGCTTCTAAGTCCTCAACTACCTTTTGATGAGTCCCTAAACTACCTTTAACATTATTAACATGCTTCTTCATGTTCACCTTTTTAGGTGCTATTCTTGAAATGTTCCCACTTCTCACTATGCGGTAACAAATTCTAAGAAAATGGTAATGACTTGTGTAGTCATCCTGTTTTCCAACTACATCCAAATACCGCTCGTATTGTGACGATAATGTTTGAAATTTTCTATCGATGTTTTCTATTTTTGAGAAATAACATCTTCTAATCTCCTCCCAAAAATCAAATAAAGCATCGATAAGTTTAACCGTTATCCCAATGTCTGGCGGCTGTGAATGGAACAGTAAGGCATTTTTCCCACACTGTTCCGATGAACTTAAGCTGTTCACCTCAGCTAAATAATCGATATCTAAACGTGGTATTTCTATGGGCACAAAAACACCTATGCCGTTTAGAACTCCCTCGATATCTTTAGTCGCATAGCACACTCCCAAAGCGTCTATGTAATCCGAGTATGTAAATTTTTTCATACGACGGAGTTCCCTCTCGTTATCTAAATATTCCTTTCTTGCTTCTGTAAAGGAACTACCTAATTTGGTACATTTTTCCCTAGCTTCCTCAGTTACACCACACAGAGCAATTTTTTCCATTTCTAAATAAAGTGACACAATATACTCGCCCAACATCCTTTGATGTTGAATGAAGTCTACATAATTCATATTGACGAAATATATGTGCACTCAAAAAATAAACGAATAAACTAATCACTTTTTTCTACACGTCTATTGCGTTAGTATATGGAGAGATAGATCGACAGAATCTTTCACTGCTACCTATCATGTCTCCTTTTACACAACTAAAAGATCTAACACTATCTTTGCTTCAACAGTGCACCTTTTACGTTGCTACAACAAATAAGCCTAACACACTTCACTACTACGAAAATGCGCGCCTATCACGTCATTTATTTCGCATAAACTAATATTTTCTCGGACACTGAAAATATAGCCTATCGAATAACTTCACTAACTACACGCGATACTATCACGTCGGGGTCACCAAATGATGAGGTCGACTCCTATCCTCATCACAAAGCGATGTAACTAACGAAAGAAAAAGAAAACGCCGCGAGATGATCTTTCTCGTTCCGTGGCTGGAAGGGAACTCAATTTATTTACAACATATTCTTAACACTAAAGCTTACATCTAATACATTAACACATGCATTTTATTTACTAATGCACGCTGTGCATTAACGCACACAATACGTTGCGGGAGAAAACGAAACGTACCTAATTTGTGATCGACTCTTTCTTATCTTCTATTTATGGCCGTGACATTTATTACATTATTTATTACCGACCATAAACCTAGCATTTGGAAAACACATGCATCTTAAGTGTTTTCTTTATTTAACTAATTTACATTCTTCGGAAAAGACAAATAAAAATGAGATAAGAATTTAAAGAAGAACATTCAACACACAAACTATTTTTACAACATGTACAGTTTCTACAAAACTAAACAAATATTATACCCAGAAGACAATGCTTGTAACAATATTGAACACCCCTCAATTACATCTTTATCAATCCCAACCAACAAAAACATATTTTATGTCACTAGCAACATAACTGACAAAATTTCAGAGAAGTCACTTCAGTATATTGGGCATAACGTACACATCTGACAAAATCTGAAAGTTTAATTAGCACTTTTAGAATCTTAGGGTCATTACTAATGGCGTGAAAAAAATCACATTGGAGGATTCAGGGGGGAAAACAATTAAAACTTTATCTGAAATCCAATTTTATTTTTAAAATTAATCTTAAATGCAACTCGGAACACTCACAACTTCTATATTATACAAAACTACTAAACACACAAATTACTGCACTGAAAATAAATCAATACCTTGCCTTTCAATAATTATGCCAAGATTTTTAATTTTAAAATGTACTTAATTTTGTAATACAGTTGTATTTTTACTCCACTTTTGCACTGATCCCACTGAAAAAAGCAACTAACTACATTTTCTCTTTTTTATGGTATTCTCGAAGTGGGCCGTTAGAATGAAGCCAAGATTATTATGTTTTCTAAAAAGCTAAACCCCTTAAGAGTTCATGTGTACACATTTGACAATAAATATTTGATTTTCATTTTTTGAATTTTGGCCAATGGCAGCGACCACTGTGTAATGGTCACAATCCATTTCTTAGAGTTTGGAATTGGGAAAATGGAATTGATGCATGCAGCAAAACTAAGATCCGGTATTTAATTTGCAGAAAATACTTAAATATATACATTGGGCAGTGCCTTATTTTAATTAAGAGATGGTAACCACGGTATAGAGAGTGCATATACATCTTTAAACCCGCTGGTTCGAATCTCCAAAAAATTAACAGGTTAAAAGTGATTAAGTTCGGCTAAGTACCCCACTACTAGGTAAGAAAACCATCAGTTCATATTACAGCCAAACAATACCCTCCAACTATTCTACTCATATAAAATAAAACTCCATTCGGTTGATAGACATTCAAAATGGTTAAAATTTTATTACGGTTTGAATTTCGTTCATTTATTATCATATAAATATGTATGCATGTCATCTGTGTGTAGATAAACATTGTTAACAAATAATAATAATAATATAATAATAATAATTAATTAATTAATAATAATAAATTTCATACTATGCATTCATTTGTTTTTGTTCACTTCGTTTCGATTTGCATTCCGATTTTCTTTTACGCTATCAGTCAATTGAAAATAAAAGTACATGTGTTTGTATGCGTATATGTGTATGTGTGTGGTCAATTTTTCGTTTAAATTGGGCAAGTGAAACATTCGGAATTACAATTTGGTCAATAAATTTTTGATAATCCTTTGCCATTGAGCTGCATCAGTGTGTTACGTGTGGGTGTGTATGTGTGTATAAGTGTATAAAAACTTATTACTGTTAAATAAATAATAAATAAATACATTTAATTATTCGTTCGAATACAATCTAACAATAACTAATACTCTTACATGTTTACCACCAGCCTGTACACGGGCAGGTTAATTTGCAATAAAAACAAATTGAAACGTTGTCATCCTTTGAACGAGATTTTAATATTGCTGTGTGTCGGGGTGTGTATGCATGAGTATGTATAAATATGTATGTAAATGTGTTTGTATATAGAGTTCTGTTAAGCCTCTTCAGAAATGTCGTTTGCATGTGGGTGTGTGAGTGTGTTATTCGATTTGTAATTTGTTAAGCACATCCAGTAAGTAAATATGTTTGTTTGTTGTTAAGTACTGCTTTTTCGGTATGTTTTTTGTGTTGGTTCTATTCCGTATATTGATCTCTAGAATACCTCTTAAATTGCATAATGTTAGGTGGGAAAAATGTGCCGGGTTATATGTTTTGTTATTAAATTTGCTAATACATTTTCATTTAATAAATTTATATTAAAATTGCTAATTTTTTCCAAAATAAAAACCCAGTAGCATATTTTTCCAAATCCATTCTTAATAAGCCCAGCGTAAAGGAAACCCCGGGATGTGATGTAAATGGAAACGACAAGAGACAATTGTTTTGGTAATTCGGTTCAAATTGAGTCTCTTGAATTATGTATATCACACAGCTCTCCGTATCCCAGCTGGGCAAACTAAAATCTTGATTGGCAAAATTTTTCAAAATTTAATCTAATAGGCCTTTTGATTTCATAGGCTCTGATCACGAATATTGATATATTGTTTTGTTTTATTTTCAATCATTCAGGTTGGAAAATACTGGGCTTTTTTTTTGTATTACATAATGTGCTATAATTTTGATTATGTGCCGTTAAAACGTTTTTTGTTGAGATTTTCAAAAAATTGTTTTCTTTTTTTTGCTATTCAATAAATTCTAACAAACAACTACGGACAAATTGGGGTTAATCCATGGCTAATCCGCCGTGTTCAGTGACAGTGGCCAGGATATTTGACATCGATGTAAAATCCAGTGGAGCAGGAATCCTTGCGCATTTCACACCAGGAGTTATAGGTGCGGTTATTAACTCCACAAATTTTCTCCTCCTCAAAGCGGGCAGACTGAAAAAGGAGAACAAATTTTCCAATTACACATATTTTGAAATAAATTATAATGCATAGTAGTTATATAATATGGGGAAAATTCCAATTTTGACCATTTTAAATTTTATTTTTGTTTTAATTTAAAATTTTACTACATTGAATTATTTAATCAGTTTTTCCTTTAGCATAACATGCGCAATGGCGAATTGAAAACTTTATATAAGGTGTATTTATTTTTAATATTATTTTTTTAATGTAAATAATACTTACTGCTGGCCTCCTTTTTCGTGAACACTTATAGCGGCATGGCGTGCATCGGGGCTGGTGTGTGAGCAAATCAATAAGACAGACCTGCTTTGGGCCACAATTAATGTCGTCGCAAGTCACTTGGTTGCCTGTAAATGTAAGGAGTTTCGGCCATGATTAGAGAAAAGGGATTCTTTGTAGATAGGAAGTTTTTATTGAGTGAAGTAAACTATAATTAAACTAACAATATAATACAATATAATAATTCTTATACCTTTCTCCACAAGATGGGGCATACTCAATTTCGTATTTTGTTTGCAACGAAATTTTCCTCTGCGTGCACATGCAGTGTAGAGGGTGAGATTAAAAACGGCGACAAAGTCAAACGTTTTTTTAATTTTTTTGTATTTTTATGGAATGAAAGCAAAAAATGTCGGAAATAGCAACAACTTTTAGAATAAGTTTAGATTTGTTCGAATTGGTCACCTTTGGCACGAATTATGGCCTTCAAACGGCCAATGAAACCGTCACACGCTGCCCGAAATTTGCTCTGTCGAATTTTGACCCGTTCCCGGCGAAGCGCTTGCTTGAGGTGATCGACACTTTGGTATTTTTTAGTGCCCACCTTTTTTTCCAAAATACTCCAGACACAATAGCCCAACGGATTGGTATCCGGAGACTTTGGTGGCCATTGTGCTCTGGAAATGAATCGAGGAACCTCATTTTGTAACCATTCTTGGGTGGCGCGTGTTGAGTGAATCATCATTTTATTTTTTTCTATAGTCTGTCTATCATGGTTTACTGCTTTGTGGGTTTTCGCCAATACAAGATTTTTGTTAGAAAAATTAATTTGAATATCGATCCCATATACATCTTTCTTTGATTTCAGGTTTATTGTACACCATATGGTTAATATCAGCCCAATAGGGGTGAATTTTGGCACTTCCGACCGAATTCAGCCTAGAAGTAAGTGCTTTTGATGAAAATCGGTTCAGATATAGTTCCCATATATATGTTGTATGTATGGTTTGTAGGGACAAATGTATTTCGAAATCATTTGGAGGTTGGGCCCAACTAGAAAAAATATATTTACCCATGTAATATGTACAAAAAATTTCACAAAAATAACTGCTTCGGAGGTGATATTACATATATGGCGGACAATATCTGTAAAATCGGATGAAGATGCATATCGAAGGTTTATACAAATCTGACCCGATCTCGATAAAATTTGGCAGAGGTATTTTCGAGATGTATTTGATATATATGAAATATATGAATTTTATAGTGACTATCATGTTTCTATCAACGATAAAATAGATATAGCTCCATTCTATGGAGCCGGATATAAACATAACCTAAACTAATATGACCGTGTAGCCGTAGTCTAATTATGGTCCAACGGCACTTAAGGAAAGATCCAAATTCTAAAGGAAACCCCGAAGGAAAAGGGGCGGAAACTCATATACTACAACACTGTACAGATTTATCAGTTCTATCTGTAACAAATATATGATTTTATTTGGAATTATTGAAAAGTAAATCATACTAATGATGATCGTTATTGATGGAATGCGTACTACAAATGGCACGTTTGATCTTTGAAATCGGATGGAACTAATATACGTGAGCTATATCTAATTCTGGGCCGATTACATGCGACCTGATTCTAAGTAGATCAACTTAAAAACTGATTTTATAAATCGTTCAAAGGAACTATGGGTCCATTTTTGTCTGTTATAAATAAATTCAACATTAAAATGGTGTTGAAACTTGCACGGGGTTCGGAAAAAAACTTTTCATATTTTACTTTTCTAAAAAAAAAGGAAAAAAAAACATTTCAATAGTCATTGTCTGCGATGGCACTTCCAGAGACGGCGTTTTATCTCACAAGAATTGGCATATTCTTTAATTGTCGTCGTAATTGATAAATGTTTTAATTTCTACTTTTGATATTTCCTTCGAATTGGATAAAGAGGGAACCAGCCAGCCAGCCATATCTGTGCCTTCTGCCGTTGTCGCAATGCTAATGCGATCACATCCTGTTACAAAGTTATTACAAACGAGTTTTTCTCCCCCCATTTGCGAGCTGGCGTAGCTGTTGCTGTTTCCTATGGGTACTATGGAATAGGTGCCGCTGCCTATCGATGTGAGTACATTTTCATTTTACAACCATTAATTACTAAAATTACCAACTACTGGTATTGAAAAATTCGTTTCGATTCATCTGGCCAATGCAGTCAGTCAGTGTAGGGTCGCCTTCAGCAAAAGAACCCGATCAACAGGCAGCTATACGATTGCCGCAGCGCGGTGCTGCTGATGTGACTGCATCATAACACAATACGAGTATTGCCATGTTCATCCAACAATTTAGGTATCTATCTATTGGGATGGCAGACGGCAGAAGTGCGGACTGTAATTAAATATAGCTCTTAATTATAATGTGTCATTTGCAACTAATCACACTTCACTATTAATTTGTTAAAGGGTAACGATAAAGGGACAATGTATGGCAATTGCAGGCAAGGATGGCAGCGTCTCTTATTTTTTTGTAAGGAGACTGGTTAAAGTGATTTAGTTTGATAATAAAGAAATATCACTTCAATGTTTAATGCAATTACATAATAGAATATAGCAATTTGTTATAAATAAACTGGAATCGGTACTGACACTATGAGTTCGGTATGGAAAATCACCTTTGCGGTATAAGTAGAGGTATAGAATAAACATGTTAAAAATTATCGGTCGGTTTTGCCAATGGATAGATAGATTCTAGTTTGCATTATGAATATGTAAAAAACAATAAGTTCGGCCTAACCATTGGGTAGAGAAAAAATTTTTATATAAAAGTATCTGAATTCAAACGTGTTCCACTTTAAATTACATATACCAGTAAGACCGTTCTGATAATACTGTTAAACTTAAAAAAAACATAAAGTGGGTTAGGCTGTTGTATGGGGGCCATACCAAAACGGGAACCTATATAGACAATTTTATGCTTCAAGGATTGTCCTCTACCAAATCTTCTTAAATATCAATTTTGGGTAGTGATAATCGTGGGTAAATGTGACTAGGATTATCAAAATACCGAGTATCGGTGGGTGTCGTTATATGTGCCCTATAGGAAAACGTGGACCTAAATTTTCAATGTTCTGCCACCGGACCAACAAATACCAATTTTTTGACAAATCCGTGGAAAATGTGCAAAAATCATCAAAATACCGAATATCAGGAGATACCGTTATATGGGGGCTATACAAACACGTGGACTATACATACAATGTTTCGCCACCTGAGCTAAAACCCATTATGACCTAAAAATACCAATTTTTAGACAAATCCGTGAAAAATCATCAAAATACCGAATATCGTTAGGTACTGTTATATGGGGACTATACACAAATGTGCACCTTACAATGTTTCGCCACCGAAACTAGAACTAATTACGACCAACAAATTAAAATTTTTAGACCATATTACGACGTGCCAGGTTTGAACTATGTCGACCACTTCCTCCTCTTCTTATGAAAATGTTCATATTTGTTTTTTTTTTTAAAGTTTTTTAAAAGTTTAAAATGGATCAAAATATTTCACTTTCGCACTTCGTCTAATGCACACAAAAATCCTGGAATATGCAAACGAAAATCGGAAATTTATTTCAACCTGCATGTTATTCTTAATCACAATTACGACCTTTTGTGGGTCAGATGCCGGAAGGAGAAGTCCGACATATTCTACATTTCTATTAGATATGGGGTTTTTACAGAATTCTGGGATGTGCGAATTAAATTTGGGCACTTATTTCAAATTTTATGTAATTTATAGTCACAATTTTGACATTTTATGGGACAGGCGCCTTTAGGAGTGGTCCGCATTTTCCCATATTTCCATATTGTATCAAGATCTTAAGCTGATCACGAAGATATATACAAAAGGTGTGAATAGTTTATTATACCCTTTTATCTACAGTGGAAAGGATAAAAATCAATCTGTGACTTGAATGTATATTTAAGTCCTTCGCAGTCTGTGTAGCCAGTAAAACCCTGTCATTGTGCGTAATTAATTGTTGTACAAACAGATTTTTAAATGAACACTCAACGCCAAGGAACACGAAATTAATCCAAGCTGATTACAGTTGAAATCGAGATGAACAGGTTGTCATACTGACCAACTGTGTCATAAAAAGCCGGTAAGTTTATGAATGAAATAGTAGAGAAACAGAAATATTCTTGGTAACCATATTCAATGTATGTAAGGCAAGTAGCATGCGAATCGTAACTTCCGGCGATAATTAAATTTATAATAAAGGACATAATTATTAACATTTTAATACACTTCATGCTAAATTATGTCTAGGATGTTTGGTGTTAAAAATGGGATGTACGGTCCACCACTCTGCATTGCACCAATATTGTAGTTTAAGCCACAATATATGGAGACTGTCATTGCAAAAAATTTCAAATGGGCACTTCATTTGGTATAGTCCGCTTTACGGAATTTTACGCTGACGTTTTGTGATCTTAGTGTGTAGAATTTTAAATAAAGGTCCACTTTTTGGGCTCATTAACAATCACAAACTAATTACTCTATCATTTCATAGTTTTAATTATATAAACAATTTTATAAAACATTTTTTGCTGAAGAAAAGGCAGGCGCGAACTAAATGCGGCTATTTTAAGGGGACTAGGAAAGTTTCACATAATAAACACACATGAAATCTTTATTTGAACTGGTAGTACGGTCTATATAATTTAATGTTTGAAGATTATTTCATGCAATTTCATATATATATATATATATATATATATATATATATATATATATATATATATATATATATATATATATATATATATATATATATATATATATGAAATTGCATGAAATAATCTTCAAACATTAAATTATATAGACCGTGAAACTTTCCTTTATATATATATATATATATATATATATATATATATATATATATATATATCTATATATATATATACATATATATATATATATATATATATATATATATATATATATATATATATATATATATATATATATATATATATATATATATATATATATATATATATATATATATATATTCCAAATTTCATTGAAATTAGAGATACATAGCGAGTTTGGTGCATCA